TAATGACAATATGGACGAACGAGTGGATTCTCTGATAGATCGGTGTACGCATCTATGCCACTGTATATCCCCGATCTAATAGGACGTTCGCCCTGATGGGAGAGATCGCGAATTCAAATCTCGGTGTGGGAGACATTTCAGCGGCCCTACTGGGGTTGGGTATCACTAGCCGATGACGCCTAATAAGGCAGAAAAGGCCTTTCTACTGTCCCATGTATTTACTGGTAATGTCTTTCTGTGCATATATGATAATGCATTCACGTACTTTTACGTTTTTATTAGCTCATCTTCGAAAATTCACTCCTTGAAATAAATATAGCACCTAAGCTAATACTTTCGTGGAAAAATTTGATAAATCTGGACTAGGCGATAAAATAAATCAGCTAAGACCTTGATGACATCTTCATGAGTTCCACTGCAGAACCTGATGTGGCTGCCATCTTGAATACTGTAACGTAGGCTTACCCGTCGATGAAATCCATTTTGGAATTGGGAATAACAGATTTGTTCCCTTTCTTAGATGTCCCTCTAAGCAAAAGACCTGACAGTGGCGTTTAAATTAGCATTTTTGAGAAACAATCTTGATCTGAACAACTGAAAAACATCCGGAGGTCATAATCCTTGAGTGGGATCATAATCTAATCAACCTTTGGGGCAAATTGCTAGAAATTTAGTTTGTCAGATAGGATCGATAGTAATTTCCCCCATCCTATATCATTACCGCTGTGTAGCTATTTGCCTGGCTTCAGAGTTAATCTAATAGCCGATCAGTAAACACGGTTCTAGTTCAGAAGTAATCAGGAGCTGCTTAGCGAGGACAGATATCCCGACCGACTTAATGCAAATACTGCTATCTATACAATTGAAACCTATGAAAATATCGTCCAAAAAGAAAAGTCGGTAGCCAAAAGTTTTCGTCTTAGGTGACGTGGTGAGTGAGCACACGAGAAAGAAACGAGGCCAACCTTTACAGCAGCAAGACTTCAGGTGATACTCTCGGCAAACTTTTTTTTTCAGGGGAAAATCAAGAATATGTTGTCAACGCAACTCCCTCCAATATGCATTTAGTTCTTCTAGAACAGGCTGCATTAGTGGTATGATTCAGCGTCTATCCAAATGAATGCATCAACGCAACCCGGCATGGCTGACAAAAGCAAAATTAGGAAACTAAATAGCGTTATTTGTGTGCAAAATGTGGACTCCTGACGTCGTATGGGTCACGGAACTTCTTTCAGTCTGATTGACGAAGTATTTCTAAATTATATGAAGCACCGCAATCAACAGCCACTAGCAAAATTAAAGGCGGTTGTAATCATCTTATAGAAATCAGTCTTGTGCACAGAGAAACTCGCGCAATTTCCACACACACCACGATCAACTACAGACTTAAAGCATGCAATTATCGTGCCTTTCTATGGCTTTGCCTAACCCTCACTGTCGACTGACTATTTGCTGCTTACTGCACTCAATAGTATCCACATTATATTAATTTGAAACGGTGAATACATATAATGTTTTTTTCTAGAAACTGCAGGTTTTGACTGACTCTGATGTCAATTCAGAATTGGCGAATACTATATATAGTAGTCCGGTCAAGCAGGTTAGCCAAAGTGTGACTACGTTTACGCATATCGATGAGATCTGGTAGCTAAACTGGTTGGAGCGTTGAGTATAACCTAATCTGAACTTGCTGTCATGGAATCGAAATCTTCCGAGGCCACCAACGTTTTCATAACTGTTTTAAAAGGATAAGGGGTCTGGCTTGACGGGACGTTGTCAAAGGCACGTGTATGCAGACCAACAATTCTTCTGAATTCTGCCGCAGGAACTTATGCAATTTATAATCAAGAAAGCCTGTCAGGGAACAGCGAATATTTTTACTAAGTTAAATTGTTAACGAAACAAGATACCAGCTAATGATGTATTTAATAGACTTTTTCGAAATCACCTGTGTATTTCAAACTCTATATATAGAGTTCAGTGTTTTTTGGGATAGAAAGACTTTTGACCGAAACTCAATTCGGATATTCTATTAACTCGTTTTCGAAAAAAAGTCAAATTTTTAAAATGAAAAGCAAAATAATACATAAATACACAAACAGAAATAGAGAACGCGCCACAGTTTCTTTAATTTTCTGAATATTCTTACACCTGGTGCCAAAAGCAGGCGCAATATATTAATATATTGCTGAATTCAGCGACAATTTTTCAAAACCCACCCGTCGTACTTGGTTCGGAGTCAATAAAAATGCTTCTGGGAACGTATCTTTCCTCCTCTGTTAAATTAAAGAATGAAATTGGCTCGACTTTTGTTTCGCTGTCCAATTTATTAAGTTCATTAAATCCATCGGGTTGGATCCCGTGTTCATAGGTCAGTTGTTCCCAAAATGTATGTCCTGCTTGCACTCCGCACTGTCCAATATGCAACATGATCAATTCGCCTTTCTAAAACGGCCATTAAATCGAGTAAAAGTACCATTTTGTTAAATTAACTGATATAAAGTGATTTGGAAATAATGCGCGATAACACAAGGCGTGTGCGCAGATGGGCTCTGTGCAAGGTTGTTCAATCAGAGACCCAAAATATCATTTCTTAGTTTGTTTAATTTGGAACTGATCGTGCATTTCACTAGAGGGCACTTCTCTTCGAAGATCTGAGAACGAACTACAGCAAAATGAAATCCTCGAGTGTTAAGGGTTTACGTTAAAATTTGTATTTTAAGAGAGGGCCAGCAGTCAGAAAAAATGCGACTTATTACCATGCCCTCCAATTTTCTTCTATACATTGTATATTTTTGAAGGGTTCGAGGAAGTAGATACCCTTGATGATCCAATCAGTTCCAAGTAACCATTACATTATAAAAGGTAATATAAAGTTGAAGACATTGAAATAGTTCAGTCCGTAGATTTCGGCCGTAAAGTGCTAATGTATGTTTGCATGAAAAGTAGGCACGCTTAAGTAGGACCGCTTTTTTGCGGGCATTCTCTGCCAGTAGGGTCCGCCCTCCCTTGGTGTGATGAATCTGGCATATTGCATGTACTGGCGAACGCTCGCTCTCTGTTGGCTGAAGAATTAGTCAATTGTTGAACGTAGAGTCAACACCATTGCCCTTAGCATGAAGATTAGCATAGGGTTTTGAGTGCGCGAACGCCATCGGAGCGGAATAGCTATTCTGCCAAGTCAGCAGCCAACAATTCATGGAAGGCCTCCTGAATCTAGAAAATTTAGACGAAGGATAGTTTTGTTGAATTTGATATTTATGGGTCTGCCTTATATCTCGGCATATAAATTTATTGGCGTTTATCTTAACTCTGATCTAGTCTGGGACTAGAGAAAAATCTTTAGGGCATAGGGCAAAATGCTGGCCACTCAAGGGAGTCGGATTCATGTTACATGCATTACAAGAGTTACAAGGACCCACTAGATTACCGTCTCATGCGTTGGTTTCTGATTTAATTAATAATAGCAACACTAAGGACTAAGGAATTCATTCGCAAATGAGTCCCATTGGTAATACTACAGTGCTTAGCGGAGTCAGCACTTGGCTAAAAAAGTAGTACCATTTTTCACGTATAGGAAATCATGC